TATATTATGGCTGTCTCTTATACACATCTAGATGTGTATAAGAGACAGGAATTATGGTATATTATATTATGGCTGTCTCTTATACACATCTAGATGTGTATAAGAGACAGGAATTATGGTATATTATATTATGGCTGTCTCTTATACACATCTAGATGTGTATAAGAGACAGGAATTATGGTATATTATATTATGGCTGTCTCTTATACACATCTAGATGTGTATAAGAGACAGGAATTATGGTATATTATATTATGGCTGTCTCTTATACACATCTAGATGTGTATAAGAGACAGGAATTATGGTATATTATATTATGGCTGTCTCTTATACACATCTAGATGTGTATAAGAGACAGTATATATATATATAATAAATAGATATAAATAATTAATAGCTTGTTTATGTATTATCAAACAACATCGAGGACGATAAACATATATCAATCAAAAAACAATACATGGATTACAGTAACGGCAACGTCGCTTTTTAAATTCATTCTAATATTGAAATATGCCAAAATGTTACAATCAATGAAATGCAATTAATGAATTGTTGTACAAAGAAATATTGACTAAAATGTCAGAACAGAACGAATAAGAAGCAAACCAAAAATTACTTAGTATTTAATATTTATTTAGCATATTTAATAAAAATTATTCAAATGATACCCAATTTTATATCAATACCAAACACGACATACATTCAAGTGATTCCTAACAAACGAACATTTTTCAACAATTTCGTACGAACAAGTACCGATGGAGTTTCTGTCCTGTCCTCTGCGATTTTTATTTATCTCATGTCGCGTTTTTATCTGCGGCAACGGTCGCAGCCACGCTTCCAAAGTACGATTTCTCGGATTATGATCGGTCACTGACCCACGCAAGGCTGCACATGTTCGCCAAAAAGGTCCGTTAGGCAACATAGGCGGTTCATCGACTGAAACGAGGCGATCGCGAATCGACCGTTCGATTTCTTTAAAACGCGAACAACATCGGCGAAGAATCATGACAAAATGACGTTCTATTATTTCGAATCGATGAATTTCACTTGAAAAATGACGAGTATAGTTTTGCAGAAACAAATAGAGCTTAAAACCTGCGAAATTGTTTCTCTTGTTTTGCAGTTTGAAATAAACCTAGCGACATACATATTTTGCATGATAATTATACGGAGAAGATAGAAGCCAGGATACGCGAACGATGTTTTATTTATCGCTTTTAATGTCAAAACTGCAGTGTATTGCTCAGAATCGCGTGAAGAACGTACACATTTCATTTTTCCAATCAGTAGTCAATCAATTTCTAGCTAAAAGAACCAAATTATTAAATATTGTTCTAAACGTAGAATGTTGAAGCTACTAAAAATGTTAACTTATTGTTTTGTTCCGGGCAATATGTGATATTACAAGTACAATATGCTACGAGTATATGAAAAATACGCAGCAACGTTTATTCAGCATCACATTGAACATAGTTACAGTAATTACTCCCTAATTAGCGTTCAGATTCTGCATAAAAAAATGAAAAATTTGGGAAGAGGTGACACGATTATTCGAGCTTTGCATCTCGTTTTTATAGTTGTTGACAATAACTATGAAAATATATATAATAACTATATAAATATATATTTTAATGTATTCTATAATAATATAATAATATATAATAACTAAAAACGAACCGCAAGGCTCAAATAATCGTATCTCCTCTTCCCAAATTGTTAATTTTTGTGCGCAATCTGAGCGCGAATTAGTTAGAAATTAATAACACTGCCCTCAACTCGATAAACTAGGTGCAACACGTTCAGTAATTTTAACATATCTTAGACAAAACAACGATTACATTTACATTCCCGGGCATAAAGATGGAGTACGCGTGATGTTTTTAATGTTTAGCGATATAATTGCGATAAACTAAAAAATTAGTTCTGTCAGAAAGAAGAAAATGAGAACATATGAATCGACGCGGACAAAATGATAGCACGTTTATAAAATACAGGTGAAATACATTCATACGTGCAGCACATTTATAAAATGCATTTCACGTAAATATAAATTGTAAGTAAATAAGTATGAACAAAATGCACATGTATGTATTTTTAATAACGAATGGAACGAACTTCGATCGTTCGGTTGGTTAGGTAACGATTTGCAGAAACAAATTATTCCATTCTTATGTAACGTATTTTTAAATTTATTTATCGAATTTTTAAATTCATTCACATCATCAAATTGTTTTCCTACTGCGTACACTGCTTGCGATAATAACGACCATTTTCCTATTTATATTTAAGTCGGACGAACGCGCTTGTCTTTAAAGAAACATGTACTTCGTAAAGATACTCTTGTACAATTTTCGCAATGTGTAGCAACATTATCTTCTCGAAGTATACAGGGTGTCCCTGGAATGTATGTACAAGCCGACACCAGGCGATTAATCGTAAAAAAAACATGGAAAATACATAGAATAATTTTTCTTTGTTTGGGATTTAGTTTCCGAGAAAATACGCGCGCTTACGGTTGAGATACGATTCGTCGATATATTGCCCATAGCCGCAAAAACGGCTCTCTCTCTCTCTCTCTCTCTCTCTTGCTGCAATTATTATTATAATTTATATTACATGGAATATAGTAAATTCTCCCTGATTGACTTGACTTGACTTCAGCTTGTACACAAAAATGGACGATTATTCGAGCCTTGCGAATCTTTCTTATAGTTGTTGACAATCGGTAAATAAATCCCAATAAAATGCAAATAACTTCCATTATTATCGAATAATAATTATATTAGATAATATAATATTATAATAAATATATATATTATTTTTATTATATTATTATTTTATTTATTATATTACTATAAATATATATTATATAAATAATATTATAATATTAATATAATATATAATATTAGAGTTATATTAATTATATTATATTATATAATAAATATATGATATATATAATATATTATAATATAATAATATATTAGATAATAATTACATAATTATAAATAATTATCCATTTTTATTTCCATGCTGAGCGTCAATTATCTCATTGTTCCAGATGGACCTGGTTAACCGTATAAGAAACCCTTTCTGTCCGGAAGTAACTGCAGTGTCTACAAGTAACTATAAAACGAAAGGGAAATAGTATCGAGTTCAAATGATAATAATAATTACGTTGTCACGAATCAGAAAATTAATTTCGCACAGTGTTTTCGTAATTAGGGAACCGTAAGCAACTGCATGATATTTTTTTGCATGAAATTATAAATACGGTACGGAGATGTACTCCATTTTTTCCCCAACGCGTTGTATGCAACATGCAATGCACATTGACATTTATAATAAGCTCGGACAAGATAAGATTGATAAAGCAGGCGACGTGTGAAAGTTGAAAGTACGCGACAAACAGATGATAACTCTCGTTTCTCAGAGTCAACGGTCTTTCGTTTCTATGATCCGCTGCTATTCATCTACGCTTGCAGGATGCAGAAAATGCAGAAAACGTCAACATTGTTTCACGTTGTATTTGAAAAAACGAATTTCCGCAATTAACGTTGCTTTTGATTCGAATTTTTCACTTTACATCTGTTACGACTGTAATCGGTCAAATTTCAGACCTTCCGGGACATTCTAATATTATTTTATTCGATAAAATTGAAAATTCAAATATTACTTCGTTGTACTTTTAATTATACGCGATATAATCGACCAATTTTCATTCATCCCTTGAACGTACTAATTATGCTTGATACATTATACTTTAGTGCGTTGTACTGTTCAAGCTGTTTGCATCGTATCAAATTACATTCTTTTGCATAAACCCATTTTGTGGTCACGACAAGCTAAAAGTTATAAATTTGAGAAATTGAAAATAAGAAGCCGACATCAATTATTGCTCCCTAATAATTTCTTTGATCAGAAGGTGAATGAAAGGTTATTTTTGTAATAATAATTATTTAATAATTATTATAATGATAAAGTAATAAAATAAATAATAATAAAATTATTACAATAAAATAATAATATTATCACATTTAATAATTATTATATTTAAAAACTAATTTTTTTAAAAACTTTTTTACTATCCTAAAGTAAAATATATACCTTCTAAGTATACCAATTTTCTATAAACAATAATTTGTACTATCTCATCTCAACTGTTTGCCACAAATTTGTCACAGGCAAGTTTTTAAAATAATTCTTTTTGGAAGTTTCAGACTAAGATTCTC